CTGAGGGGATGTCATCCCAGGGCGCTGAAATAAATGCACGCTCTCTCTCTCTCTCTCTCTCTCTCTCTCTCTCTCTCTCTCTCTCTCGGTGAGTACTTTTTCTGACGTGTCATTGTGCTGCTCCGTAGTTTTTGAGTGTTTTATGCCGCTCGCTGCCCTCCGGGACCTCATTGTTTTAGATCGTCAGTCAAGGGCTACTTTACTTGACCCCGTACCGTGATCGCGTACTTATCGGTCAAGTCTGTGGCGCATTTTCGGCGGATTCTTCACCACTCGCACCGTTGATTTTCGCTGGAGGCTCGTTCCGCCATCGGCCGCCTGTCATCTGCGCATGCGCTCAGTGATCTCGGTGCGTATCTTGATGCTCCGTGACGCGTGTCCGCCATCTGCGCCTGCGCGTTAGATCTCGGTGTATGCCTCGATCTCGTCTGCGCACCGTCACACACAATGACGCTCGCCTGTGGAAGCTGCAAAATATTTATGTCGGCAGCAGATGCGCTTTTCTGCGAGCGCAACTCCAAGCATGCTTTTCATGCTGAATGTGCCACGAATCGTGGTGTCGAGTTGGATATGGATTCCTCGGGGCCCCTCTGCCCTATTTGCAAGGTTCACAAACTCATCAGACAGCCTCCCCGCCTCTCCCCTGCTAACAACGGTGCCTCGGTGGTGGAGCCCGCCCCGGGCGCTGCGAATGGCGGTTTCGACTCACTCAAGGGCCTTCTCTCGACGCTACTACGTAAGATCACAAGCATTGAATCGCAGCTACAGGACCTACCTACCATCAAGGCGCAATTAAAAGAACTGCCCGCCATCAGAACAAAGCTGTCATCACTGGAGCTTTTGTCTCAACATATTGCCTCATCCATCGGGGACTTCTCCGCGCGGACCGATGAGCTGTTCACGAGGACGGATGCCCTCTCTTCCTCTGCTCAACAGATGCAGGATTCGCAGGCCCGCCTTGATGAGCGCGTCCGTGCCCTTGAGACCGGAGCACCTCCACGCTCCGGCTCTGTGGCGGTCGACCCTGGCCTTGAGGCGCAGCTCGAGGTCCTCGAGCGTAAGAGACTCGGCTCTGAGCTCATTCTCTTCGGAATCGCCGCACGTCCGGATGAGAATCTATTGGCAACTGTCACCGGGGTGGCCTCCGTACTCGGTGTTACCGTTGCGCCGGGTGATATCGTCTCCTGCTTTCGTATCCCCGGCAGGGGGGATCGCCCTAGCCCGGTGATAGTCAGAATGTCGTCGAGGGATGTCCGTAATCGCTGGATCGACGGCAAGAGGAGGAGGGGTGCGCTCGACGGCTCGACCGTCTCTGCGGAGCTGAGCGGCTCTAGGATCGAGATCAACGAGAGGCTCCCTGCCTTCATCTGGCGCACTTTCGGCGAGGCGCGGAGCGCCGTCAGAGACGGGCGCCTACATCTGGCCTGGGTGCAGAATGGATTTGTCTACGTGAAGTGCCGCCCCGATTCCTCGCCCATCAAGCTCGATCATCAGGGGCATCTCGTCGATGTTTTGGCGTCGGCCTCACAACCTTTGACTGTGACCAACACCGACCGCTCTTCTGACGCCGCTGACGCTCAACTCTCTACACCGGGCACCTCTACCTCTTCCTCCGTGCGAATGAGTGGCTCTGTTCTGCGTTCCCCAGCGCGCGATGGCCTTCCTCCCGGCCGTCGTCCCCTATCAGGGTCGGTTGTCGCCCCCTCCCTCTCTCTCCAGCCTGTCGCGGGCGCACACGGCTCCATGTCCGCCCGCGTGCGGCCGTTCGGGGGTGGCAATTGACGCCGGCGGCCGGCGGCGGCCGCCCCGTCCGGGCTGCTTCGCCTGTGTCATGTCAACTGCCAATCCCTTCTTCCGCACTTCACGGAATTCAATGCTTATTTTTCCCGCGATAGCTATGACATCATCGCCATGCCCGAGACGTGGTTGAAGGATCACATCCCGGATCAGATGGTCGACCTTTTTGGCTATCAATTCCTTAGACATGATCGTGGGGGCAAGGGGGGAGAAATGATTGGCCTCTACGTACGCCATGGTCTAGTTGTGAGATTCCTTGCGTCCTCGCCTCGACTCTATTGCGGGCAGCCCGAGTACCTTCTCGCTAGCGTGACCTTCGCGGAGGGTAGGCCACTGCTTCTCGCGCTTGTCTATCGTCCTCCTAAATTGGGACACCTCGCTTTCTTTCGGGCCGACTTCGAGAGATTTCTCCCCTCGTTCTCCTCCGCCGTGGTTGTGGGTGATTTCAATGTCGACCTGAATCGCCAATCATTCGATGCCATATCCCTGCGTGACTTTTGTACGTGTAACAGTCTCTATATCGTACCTTTCTCTAATACTCATCATACGGCTACCACTCACACTTTGATTGATCATTGCTTCGTCAGTGATCGGCATCTCGTGAGTCGCACAACCAACATCCGCTACCGTTTCTCTCCTGTCATGACCTTATCGCCTTGACTTCCATTTTCAGCGCCTTTCTCCTCGCACTGTTTCTGCCCGCGATCTTTCCCGCTTTGACCCCGACTCTTTTCACAACTCTCTGTTCTCATTCGATTGGACCGCACTACATCCTGCCGCATCCCTCGACGACAAGATCCACATATTCAATTTCTACCTTCTCAAAGCCTACGATCTCCACGCCCCTCTCCGCTCTTTTACCGCCAGAAGACCTCCAGCCCCGTGGCTAAACCAGGATGTCCGACATCTAATGCGTAGGAGAGATGCCGCAAGAAGGGTGTTTCGATCTCATCCCTCTCCTTCGAGCCTGAGCACTTTCCGTACCTTGCGCAACAGTGTTAACCACCTTATCGACTCTTTAAGGAATTAGTACACGATGCAGCGCCTCGACTCCTCGACCTCACCGGCACGCCTCTGGTCCGAGCTTCGCTCTCTCGGTCTTGCCAGACCTCGTTTCTCTCAGACTCCTAATCCATTACTCGACGAACTGAATCTCTTCTTCACCACCTCTTCCCTCCCTCGCTCTCACGTCTCTCCTCGTCCTCCGCTCTCTCCGGTTTCTCTCTCCCTCTTCCCGCCTTCCTCCTCCTCACCCTTGGCTGATTCCAACACTTTCTATTTCCAGCACATCTCTCCTTTAACCTTGCGTAAAGCGATCAGAGTGTGCTCCTCCAACTCCATTGGACCTGACGACATCAATCGCCGCCTCATCATCAACAGTCTTCCTATCGTCTACTCTGTCATCCTCGACCTCCTCAATCAATCCCTCAACCTGTCTTTCTTTCCCTCCGCCTGGAAATCCTCTTTCGTCATACCTCTTCCTAAGACCAAAAACCCTACATCCCCCTCTGACTACCGCCCAATTTCCCTTCTTTGTTACCTTTCCAAGATTCTCGAGCGCATAGTATTCGACCAACTCTCCGAATACTTGGATGGTTATCAACTTCTCGATCCTCTCCATACTGGTTTTCGTCGAGGAAATAGTACGCAGACTGCCCTGGTCAAGCTTACTGACGACATAAGACTTGCTGTCGATCGCAGAATGGTCACCCTGCTCGTGCTCTTTGATTTTTCAAAGGCCTTTGACTCGGTTGACCACAGTCTGCTCTTGCGCAAGCTCGCGGACTACCGTCTACCGGCTCATGTCCTCGAATGGTTCAAATCATACTTGACTGGGCGCACACAATGTGTGCGGGGCCCGGATGGGTTTTCCAAATGGGCTGCCATCCTCGCTGACGTTCCATAGGGGTCGGTCCTGGGCCCTCTCCTCTTCGCCATTTTCATCAACGATCTGAGACACTCTATCAAGCACTGTCACCATATCCTATACGCGGACGATCTCCAAGTTTATATTCACTTCTTCCCGAAGGATCTCGCCTTAGCGAAGATTGGCGAGGACATCTCGGCGATCGCGTAGTGGGCTTCTCTTAATTCTCTTACCCTCAATGCTGGCAAAACCAGGGCGATACTCCTGGGCAGCGCTCGTTACGTTAACGATATCCGGGCTAATCACAACATCGAGCTTTTTCTTAACGGTACGCTCATCGTCTTCTCCGTGAACAACCTCGGTATCACTCTTTCCAGCACCCTGAACTGGACTGAGCAGGTCGGGGTCACCTTGCGTAAAATTAATGGAGCCCTCTGGCGACTGAAGCACCATAGGAACAGTCTCTCCATCCCGCTGCGCGCTCGGCTG